GCAATGACATTGAAATGTAATTCAGTAGAAAAACATCAAAAAAAAAGAAAAGTATTTTTACAGGTGATAATCATGATTAAATATAAATTATAACTTAAATCTCAGATGGTAAATAAAAATGATATATTCAAGTAAAATGTATTTAATATACATATGTATATAAAGTGGGTGTAAATATAAACAACATGTTCTTGACCCTTAAATCTGCGCTAGACAAGAGCTTTTTAATTTTTAAATAAATAAAAAATACAAAAAGTAATCTGTTCACTATGTACGTCTGTCACAATTAATTCTTAAATAAATTAAATGGTTATAATAAACAAAAATACCTACAGCAACTAGAAAAATGATAAACAGTTAAAAATGTGTATTTAAAAAAGTCAAAATTAAAATAATCACACGCGTTCTTTACGCTTAAATTGTCAGATGATTTTTTGTCATGCCGTTGCGTCTTTTATTGTTAACAAATAAGACACATGATAACAGTTTACGTTTCTCAACTAATTATTTTAACGAATAAAATGAATTACTGTACTAAATGCATAAAATAAATGAATATATTTCAAAAATAGGGCATTGATTTAGCATTTTCTAAACTGTGTAGCTTTATTGACATAAAAGAAATTTAACGAATCTTTTTGAAATAGAATATTTTTGAAAATAGATATTTTATTGAAAACTAATACTTGCAACTTGATCTTAGTAACACGACAATTTGTCTACAAATACTCATTTGATCTGATTGTAATATTAAAGAATAATTAACGAACCTTTTAATTGCACGACAATTTGTCTACAAATACTCATTTAATCTGATTGTAATATTAAAGAATAATTAACGAACCTTTTAATTGCATTGATGTAAACTGATAAATATAATAGTTTTTTCATTCCGGCATCGAAGCGTATTTTTTTCAGTATAGCGACTGATTTAATCTATAGTCTAGTCTACAGTCTAGTCTACAGTCTAGTCTATAGTCTAGTCTATAGTCTAGTCTATAGTCTAGTCTATAGTCTAGTCTATAGTCTAGTCTATAGTCTAGTCTAGTCTAGTATATAGTCTAGTCTATAGTCTAGTCTATAGTCTAGTCTGTAGTCTAGTCTATAGTCTAGTCTATAGTCTAGTCTATAGTCTAGTCTATAGTCTAGTCTATAGTCTAGTCTAGTCTATAGTCTAGTCTATAGTCTAGTCTATAGTCTAGTCTATAGTCTAGTCTAGTCTAGTCTATAGTCTAGTCTAGTCTAGTCTAGTCTAGTCTATAGTCTAGTCTATAGTCTAGTCTATAGTCTAGTCTATAGTCTAGTCTATAGTCTAGTCTATAGTCTAGTCCAGGGGTCGGCAAACTTTTGAGTTGGAAGAGCCAAAATTTACAGTTTACAAAACATATGTTTTAAAAGAGCCACAAAATTGTTGTTTATTAAAACTTTACAAATACTTTATGAATTCACTTCAAAAACATAAAGTTGGTTTAATTATCTACAGGACATTCTGCAAGGAATCTTTCTTATAGATTTTTGACTACAAATACTTTTTGAATTTTTATGGGTCATTCGAATGCATTTTTTAAACACTCGTTATATAAAAATATAGAATTTTATTAGAGTAGGACGACAGTGTTATCATTTAGAAGGCATTTGGAAACATATCAGGAAATGTAAAAATCACGAAAATTGATGACGCAGCTAATACAGTATAAAGTAATATATTAATTTGGCGGCAATCGAGATAAATATTTTACCAACCCCAATATTAGGTCCTTTTCAGAAAATGACTAACGATCATAATTGACTTAACAGTAGCAATATAGCGGCGAAATTCAAAATATACAACTTTTATAAGAACAAAAATCTATCTTCCAAATTTGATTTTAACGTTCATAACTGTCTTAATAATAGCAGTATTATGACAAAATTCAACACAAACATAACATAAACATAATTGACCAATCCCCTTTTAAAAGGTCTACTTCGGAAAATAACTTTAACGTTCATAACTGATTTAATTAACGCTCATAACATGCTTAATAATACCAGCATAGTGGTGCAATTCGTCATAAACAAGTTTATAGGAACAAAAATATCTGTACCAAATTTAATAAGGATGGATTCAGAATTGACCCTACCCACCCATATAGTGTCCACTTTCGAAAACTACGAAAAATACAAGTATAGTGATGAAAATCAACACAAACAAGTAGGATCCAAAATTTCATTACCAAATTTTGTAAGGATGGGTCGGTCCATAATACCCTTTCTGGTACCTTATTTATAGCCAAAAATTGTATGTCAAAAATATATCAATCTTTTATAAATCACTGTAAAACGTTTCTAAAACGCGCAATATTTAAATATTGAAGTTTTTAAATAGAACAAGTTTTTAGTATTTACCCAGCAAAAACTCGATAATGGATTGTACTTCCATAACCACTTACTTTTCAATAACTACTACTTACCGTCTGCATTACTTAGAAGTACTCTAGTAATGACTTTCTTATAATCTGATATAGAAGTACTTTATTTTCGGCTTTGTCATTTTGTTTGCATATTTTATTTAATTGCGTTTTAAGAATTGTGTTTTACAAAAAATAAAACAAAATTAATTTTGATTGTGAAAACCATTATTTGATGCGCAATAAAAAAGCTAAGGAGTGGTACAGTGTGTAGAACATTTGACTAAAAAATCGAAGTCCCTAATTCGTATTCTAGCTGGATCTGTTTATTATTAAAAAACAAAACAACTTACTCAACAACTGTTTTGTAAGAGATATTGCAAGTACTTCTTTAACTTCCTATTAGTAAGCGTGCGTAGAAGTACTTGCCTCCAATGACATCACCGTGTTAAAATAATGACTTAAAATGCTAATGAAGAAGTAGTGAAAAGAAATTTTATTAGCTTTTTAACTCATTACTTTTCAATGTAAGTTTTTCCTGGGTAACTGTGTTCAAACTCTCTACAATATTAAGTAATTATTTAATTACTATATTTTCAATTTCCAAAAAATATGTTTTAATTCGAAAAACACGAAAATTTCGGAATGTATGATTATGTTTTACATTTTATCTAATGGCACATCGTAAGAGCGCTCATGATACCCCATCGTTTATAGGGAACTTTTCAACTAAAAATTTAAATAATTAAAAATTTTCTTACAATACTAACTTGTACATGGAACAAATTCAATAGGAGAGATAGGTTTGTATAGCTTTAGAAAGTTTGGATCATAACGTGTTGTTTAAAGTTTCACAAACGACTCTAAACTTTTATTTGTTAGTTGTCTCACATACAGAACGATTAAACAAAGTTGAAATGTTGTGTATATTGTAGAAACGTTTGCGAATTGTTTTATTAGTTTTAACAAACACTGCTCGTTAATCTATTCAGAAAGATATATATTTTTTTATAAAATAAAAAAATTGCGTATGAAACTAAAGAGCCATAGCTCCACATCCAAAGAGCCGCATTTGGCTCGCGAGCCGTAGTTTGCCGACCCCTGGTCTAGTCTATAGTCTAGTCTATAGTCTAGTCTATAGTCTAGTCTATAGTCTAGTCTATAGTCTAGTCTATAGTCTAGTCTATAGTCTAGTCTATAGTCTAGTCTATAGTCTAGTCTATAGTCTAGTCTATAGTCTAGTCTATAGTCTAGTCTATAGTCTAGTCTATAGTCTAGTCTATAGTCTAGTCTATAGTCTAGTCTATAGTCTAGTCTATAGTCTAGTCTATAGTCTAGTCTATAGTCTAGTCTATAGTCTAGTCTATAGTCTAGTCTATAGTCTAGTCTATAGTCTAGTCTATAGACTAGTCTATAGTCTAGTCTATAGTCTAGTCTATAGTCTAGTCTGTAGTCTAGTCTATAGTCTAGTCTATAGTCTAGTCTATAGTCTAGTCTATAGTCTAGTCTATAGTCTAGTCTATAGTCTAGTCTATAGTCTAGTTTATAGTCTAGTCTATAGTCTAGTCTATAGTCTAGTCTATAGTCTAGTCTATAGTCTAGTCTATAGTCTAGTCTATAGTCTAGTCTATAGTCTAGTCTATAGTCTAGTCTATAGTCTAGTCTATAGTCTAGTCTATAGTCTAGTCTATAGTCTAGTCTATAGTCTAGTCTATAGTCTAGTCTATAGTCTAGTCTATAGTCTAGTCTATAGTCTAGTCTATAGTCTAGTCTATAGTCTAGTCTATAGTCTAGTCTATAGTCTAGTCTATAGTCTAGTCTATAGTCTAGTCTATAGTCTAGTCTATAGTCTAGTCTATAGTCTAGTCTATAGTCTAGTCTATAGTCTAGTCTATAGTCTAGTCTATAGTCTAGTCTATAGTCTAGTCTATAGTCTAGTCTATAGTCTAGTCTATAGTCTAGTCTATAGTCTAGTCTATAGTCTAGTCTATAGTCTAGTCTATAGTCTAGTCTATAGTCTAGTCTATAGTCTAGTCTATAGTCTAGTCTATAGTCTAGTCTATAGTCTAGTCTATAGTCTAGTCTATAGTCTAGTCTATAGTCTAGTCTATAGTCTAGTCTATAGTCTAGTCTATAGTCTAGTCTATAGTCTAGTCTATATTTAGTCTATAGTCTAGTCTATAGTCTAGTATATAGTCGAGTCTATAGTCGAGTCTATAATCTAGTCTATAGTCTAGTCCATAGTCTGGTCTATGGTCCAGTCTATAGTACTCTGTTTGTTATGAGTACTAATTTATTTAATTATTTTAAAACAAATTAATTTTACCAGTTAAATACAGAAATATATATGTATGTAGGTGTGAAATTGGCAAGCTTTAATAATATTAATTCTAACAAATCAAATTAAACGTTTAACAATTAGTTCGCTGTTGTTTTATTATTACTTTTGTTTTATTGCACCCTTTGAAAAAGTACAAAATAGATATTGATTTGTAATCTACAAATAATTATATGTAGTTTAATTGCTGCCACTAATTGAACTCAAACTAATAATATTTCAATATAAATTAAATAATAATTAGCAAATATTTAGCACAAGTTTAAAAATAACACAACTTCCAACTACCGTGCAATTTGTGGGTGGAAAATGTTTAATAATTTGAAATTTGTAATTATTTTATTATTAACAAAACATAGTTGGGTAAGTTTAAAATTTTAACTATTAAAAATTAACTTTTTAACTAAAAAAAATATACACCAAGGGAAACAATTACATTATTGTGGCCGATGAAAATAGCTTCTTTCAACCATGTAGTCCTGAGGATAATGCTGGCAATACGAATATGGAAGATTTGTTAGAACTTAATTTGAAACATGACTTTGCTGAAGATATGGAAACTTTAATTACAAATGGTAATATAACGACAAAAGTTGGTATACCCGAAGGTGTTACGATAGAGGTAAATATATAATTATATAGAAATCAAAGATAATAATTTTGAGAATAAAAAAACTTTAGTTAGATGTGGAAATTTTTCATTGGAAACGTGGTAAATGGGAGAAAACTGTATATTCTATAAGACGTGATGATTTCTGTACTGCTGCATTTGATCCAGCGGAATTTTGGTATATATTGACAAATCAAATGGCACAAGAAGATCGCGTTTGTCCACCGCAGAAAGGAGTGAGTATATTAAACTATTTACTTGATAATATTTAAATAATTTGAAATTATATGCAAATATTTGTAGACAGTGTACCATCTGAATAATGTGGAAAATCGTGTTGAATTTAATAATGCTTTTGGATTAGATATAGAAGGGGACTATAAAATTATATCACATTTTGTTGCGGCCAACTTTTCGTCCTGTATTACGGCTCTTGTTACTGTTTGGAAAAACTAATTGATTTTTTTTTTATTTTTTGGGAAAAATTTAAATGAATATATATATTAGAATATGTGATTTAAAAAGGGAACTTTTAGTTTAGAATTAAATATACTTACATATTTATAAGTATTTTCAACCAATAAATATTGATTTAAATCTGTACTAATTTTTGAAAAAAATTTCTCAAATTTTTTTAATTTGAAAAAATATTATTGCAAATAAGGAGAATTTTTAGAAAATTTTGAAATTTTTCAAACTAAATGGAAAATATCGAAATAATTAAAAAATAGATTTTTTCTTAATTTTCAGCAAGTACAGAATTTATAAAAAAAATACATTTAGTCGAAAATTTAAAAATAAATTAAAAATATATTGAAAATCTTCAAATCAAAAGAAAAATTTTATATTTTTTTTATTTTTTTAACTAAAAATTTATTAAAAACTTTCGAAATAAAGATAATTTAGCAAAAATCAGAAATAAATAATTAGAATTTATTAAAAGTTTTTGGAAAATAAGAAATTTATTGAAAATTTTCAATTTAAAAAATTATTAAAATATCGAAAATTTCAATATTTTTAATTTTTAAGCCAAGAGTATTTTGAAAACTTTTGAAAATCGCAAGTAAAAAATATTTGTCGAATATTTGTTGAAATTTTATTGAAAATTTTTTAATCAAAAAGAATTTTTCGGAAATTTTTTTTATTTTTTATCGAAAATATCGAAAAGTTAGATATTTGATTTGAAATGTAATTGTAACTATAAGATAAAATTTCTTATTATTAATGAAACTTTTCTTTGCATTAATGTAAACAGTTTAATTGTTTCATTCCGACTATGAAATGTTTTTCTTTAAATATATCGCTAATATTGAAAAAAATATCGAAAAATACGATTTAACATTTTCGAAACTTTAATGAAACTTTTCTTTGCATTAATGTAAACATTTTAATAGTTTTATTCACACTATGAAACGTTTTTCTTTGAATGTAGCGCTAAAATTGTAAAAATATCGAAAAATTCAATTTAAAATTTTCGAAATTTTAATGAAATTTTTCTTTGCATTAATGTAAACAGATTAATAGTTTCATTCCGAGTACGAAACGGGTTTTCTTTGTTTGCAGCGCTGGAATCGGAAAAAATATCGAAAAATTTGATTTAACATTTTCGAAACTTTAAATTATTGATAGATACATATAAATCTTCTACATAACTAGTTACGTTTAGGAAATTTTGTAATTTTGCTATTCTAAATAATACATGCGATCCCTAATTTAAATACGGAAATAGTTAGGTGTGAAATTGGCATGCTTTAAACAATTAAATATTTTAATTATTAAACATTACAGATACATACTAACAAATCAAATTAAATGTTTTACAATCAGTTTGCTGCTGTTTTATTTTCACTTTTATTTTATTATACTATTTTATAAAAATAAAAATAGATATTGATTTATCATCTACAAATAATTATATTTTAATTACTATCACTAATTGTAGTACTCCAACTAATAATATTTCAATATAAATGAAATAGTAATTAGTAAATATTTAGCACTAGTTTAAAATTAACAAAAATTGCAACTTGATACTGCAGAATGTTGAATTATTTGAAATTTTTAATTATTTTATTAATAACAAATTATTGTTGGGTAAGTTTAAATGTTTAACAAAAGGATGTTTTCTTAATAATAATAGTTATAGAGCGTTCCTCCTTTGACGGCCAATAAAAACAATTACCTAGTATTTGCCGATGAAAAAAGTTTCATTCAATCATGCAGCCCTGAAGATAACGCAGTCGCTACGAATGTGGATAATTTTTTGGAACTAAATTTGAGACACGACTTTGATGAGGATATGGAAACTTTAATAACGAATGGTAATATAACTATGAAAGTTGATATACCATATGGTATTCAATTAGCGGTAAATATTAATTTTATTATTAATTAAAGAAACTTTAGCTTAATTGAAGAATGAAAAATACTTTAGTTAGATATGGAAATTTTTATGTGGAAACGTGGTAGATGGGAAAAAACTGTGTATTCCATAAGACGTGATGATTTTTGTGCTTCGGCATTTGATCCAGTGGAATTTTGGTATCCGTTAACCGAACAAATAAGAGAAGAAGATCGTATTTGTCCACCGAAGAAAGGAGTAAGTTTATTAAGCAAATATTTTTCGTATTTTTTTTTTTAAATTCAAACTTTTTAGACTGTTTATAGATTTGATAACTTGGAAAATCGTGTTGAACTTAATAATATAGCGGCATTTGATATTGAAGGAGACTATAAAATTGTAGCACATTTTATTGCTGGAGATTATATATCCTGTATTTCATCTTATGCTAATGTTTGGAAAAACTAATTACTTTTATTTTGAAAATAGCAAATACATATTAATGAGGCCGATTTTAAAAATAAATATATATACGCAAGATTAAAAGTATTTTTAAGCAATAAATATTTAATCAAAATTATAAAATTGCCAAATTTTCTTAAATTTTGCAAAATTTTCTTAATTTTTTTCTAAATTTTCAAAAAATTTAAAATTTATTAATTTAAAATTTATTGAAAAATGGATTTTGGCGATTTCACTATACGACCTGTGTAGATTCCGTGTATTATAATTCTTGGATCTCGGAAGACAGCTCAGATAGCTGCCGTTTAGGCGCTGCTTCGGATGACTTCCGTTTAGGTAGGTATATCAGCCTTCGCCGGGGGACCTTTTATCGTCTCAATGTGGAGTTTTGACCATTGTAGATCTGTGAGCTCACCGGCTTAGCACCAAGCCGATTAATGATTTTATAGGCGGAAGGGCACCAAGGAGAATAGAGAAAAGAATAATATTTCGTGTGCTCATCTTGCTTAACTGTTGGCACAGATGAGACTGGGCTGAATCCGTAACGAAGATTCGACTAGATAAGATCGTGTCAGGACCATGTAAGACTTAAAGATACCAGATGCTAAAGAACCATACTGCATAAGTTCGGATTTCGACTGTCTACCGACTTACACGATTTTGTTTTTGGCGCACTAGTAGCAGAACGTTTAGTAGAACATGGCGCTACCACTCACTAAACGAGGCTGCAGTAGTAGACGACATACTACAGTCTTAAACGGACGCTGTAGTAGTCGGGACTCTGGAGATTATTTAAGCCCTTTACCGGTTACAAAGGGCATGATTTATTTTTGGACATGTAATCGGAAAAATAGTCGTATTTAATGCCTACTAAGGAATTGCTCTGGAGACAAATGCAGACCAACAAGCCACTCATTATGAGGACAGACGCTGTTGGTTTTATGAGTGGTGGTAGTGGGCCGACAGCCTTCAAGAAGACGGATAATGACCTCATGATGCCAGCAGAAACTAAACACTGTATCCTTGTGAAAAGGATATAGAGTGGTTGTCTCTAGCAGCTAGGGGAAACGCACGCTAGAAAGAGGAGGGAGGGTTAGTTCTTAGTTGTACTCGGTTAAGACTTCTCGGATAAGAGAGCCCCACCGGTTGTGACAAGTGTTAGCATGATTTTTAAACGTTATCGTACTAATGTATTTCAATAATAATAATAACGAAACTTTCGTAACTATAACGTAAAATTTCATATTATTTTAATTTATTAAAAAAGTTTTGAGAATTTGTAAGATCTTCCAGGAGATAAATTTTTATGAAAAAAAAATTTAATATTAAATTTTTGTACTCATACTTTTATGTTTAAACTTTATCATTTTAATCTTTTTAATATATTGTAAAATTACTTTATGATTCTGTATAAATTTTAGTTTGTTATAAAAATGTGATAAAGTTAGCGCATGATTAGTCATAATTTAAATGTTAAGCCTAAAAAAATTCTTTATTTTGTTTAGTTTTTCTTTGAACTTTAAAAAATCAAGGTCAAAGGTAAAACAGAAAAGTTTTGAAAATTTATAACAGGATTATATTAAAAGAGAGAGATTTACTCAGTTGCCTCTGAGTCTAAGTTTTTCGCATATTTTACAAAATCTTTTAAAGCATTTTATTTTGATTCTTTGATCAAACAAATATTTATTAATTCTGCTAATTTTTCTAATTACTCTCTTGTATTATAAACATTATTATCGTTATTGATTTTTGTTTTGATTTTTCGATTAAACACATTTTTTTCTCAATTCTATTGGCTGTTAAATATCACACTTCCAGTTTAATTTGAAATTTTCACAAATATATGCGAATTTCTGTTTTTCAAAATATTTTCGCTTTATTTATTTTTTTTTTTTTGAGTGGAAAATTTTCTAATTAACACATTTAATGGCGGAAAAAACGTTTAACAAATTTTCTATTTAGACATGTTTATTAAAACCTTTGAAAATTATTGAATACAATAGAAATTTTATTAAAATTTTTATAGACATGTTAAATAAAATGAAATTTTCCATTTAGCCTTAAAGTACAGCTTCAATTTGTTTAATTTATTAACTTAAGAGCAAAAAAGTAATAAAAAATAAAAACAAACAAATAATAAATAAAATTAATTTTTTGTTTTGACAATTGTTGCTGTTGATCGCATTAAAAAAACAACAGTAATAAACAGTAGGAAAATAAGAAAACAAAGAAATAAATGTATAAAATTGTTATAAATTTCTAGAAGAAAAAGTAAATAGTAAAAAAATTAAATAAATGCAACCGAAACGACTGGTGTTTTTATTTGTTTGTATTTCGTAATTAAAATTATTGCCATACGGGTGGTATGAGTGATGTGAGGACGGGTGTTTGCAAGAAAATGTATATTTTTAAATAAAAATATTAAGTATATATATTTACTTTTGATGGGCAATTATATATAATATAATATTTTCTAACTATGGGGGCTCCACGTTTCCTTAACAGTAATATGAGATGTTACGTTGTGCCTACAAACAGGCATGGAAAAATCAGTACTTTAGTACTTTTTGATATCGAAAAATACAGCCGTACCTCCACGATATTTTATAAACTTTTTCTGACTTATAAACTTTCAGTAAGTAGTCCTATAGTCTATTCTAGAGTCGATTATAGAGTCTAGTCTATAGTCTAATCTATAGTCTAATCTATAGTGTGGTCTATAGTCTGATCTATAGTCGGGTCTATAGTCTGGTCTATAGTCTAGTCTATAGTCTAGTCTATAGTCTA